GGGTTTTTCATTGAAAAAAATGCCAGTTTGTTGAAACTTAATTTCTTTGTGGGAAAGGGTCAATTATGAGGGTTTTCTCGACTCAAAAAAAAGTTGAAGAAAAGGTTTTTAAGTTGTTGAAATATTTAGTTTTGGCATCTCTTAAAATGAAAATTTTCTGGTCTGAAACGACTTTTGTTTTGTTTAGAAATTTAAGCAGATTAGAGTAGGAAAAAACAAAACAAAAATGGTTGAAGTCAAAACGAAGCATTTGGCTTGACCCAAACTGAAATTTGTTTTGAATTTTTGGTTTGTGAAAATTTGAGATTTTTGACTTTTTTTTGGGGGTCCTCATTCAGGACAGGAAAAAATGATCTCTCAAAAAATGTGTGGGATGAGGAAACTGGTTCCTGCCCTGCTTCAGTCTGGACTCCTGGGTTCTTATTCCCCAGCTGTGCTACTGACTGCCACATGTCACGTATGGCCTCCTTTTCACCCACTTCCTGCAGCTTCTGCTGAGTGGAGGGAAATGATTCTGCAGCTGGTCTGTGAGGTCGTGCCAGTGAGGATGGTTCTCAGTGGGTTGCCGTGCTCGGGTTGTTCCATCCTGCTCCTATGTTTGGTTGTGCTTCAGGGGAGGGAGAAGTGACACTTATTCTGGTTACGCAGAGTCCATGGCGTACCTGCGGATGACTCTCAAGGAAGAGTGTCTGCTGCTAGTTCGGGCGACCTCATTAGTGGATTTAGGAACAGTCTTGCCTGGTCCTCTCCCCAGGGCATGGGCTAGATGAGTTAAGAAAACAGACTTCTCTGACTTGAATATATTTACTTTTTCTATTTTAGTTCTACACCTATTTGATTTCTGATTTGGGGCTAGTAGCCATTACTAAATTCGTTTAGGAAAAAGCTGTTTATTTCCCTTACTCTGCCTACTTTTCTCAGTATAATTAAAGAGCTCTGTAACACGCAGGGTTTCTAACGGCAAAGTGCTTCCCCTGGCCTGGGAACTGGCTTGCCACATGTAGCTCTTTAAACGGAGAGGTGTATCTCCTAGAGATAGTAAATTACACTCTAAGGTCCCTTTGTACTGCCATGGTGTGTAAAGGGGGTCTTTGTGTATTTTGTCCATACCGGTTGCCTCTGTCCCCTTCCAAGCCTCCTGTGCATCCTAAGAAAATATCTCCTCTTTCCGACTGTCTTTCCCCTGTTCCAAACTACCCTGCCAGCTATTGCTTCATTTTAGGAAGACACAGAAGTTCACACAGTTGCAGCAGGTCTGCTGAGTGCATTCAGGTGTGTCTCATTAACTGACCCAGCAGTGTAGCCTGAGCAGATATTCATGTTATCAGCGTCTGGACAAGGACTGGAGAGTAGTGTAGGTCAACGCTTCTGATGCCATCAGCTCGGCGAGCTCTTCCCAGTGGGTTAGCTGATGATTGCTCAGGCCAAAAAAGGTGAATCATAGATGACAAGGGATTTTAATTGGGAGTAAGAGTCTCTCTCTAATGGGTGACCCTTAACTGGCCAGCAGCATCTTTTGGGGGTGCAACTGAAAGATTGCTTTGGCGGGCAGTCCATGCATGAGGGTGCATTCAGTCAGCAGGCGATGGAATGCTGTTAAACTTAGATCTCCGGGTGGCCGTGTCTGAGCTGTTCTAGAGTGCTGGCGATGCTTCACCAGCTAGATTGGAGTTAAGGAAGAAGAATTCGGAATTGACCTTTGGAAGCAACATAAATAGATCATTATGTTTAAAGGAGAAGAGACAGACAATAGAGATGGTTTAGAGACTCATTTATTAAACGAGGGAAAGAGTCTCTTCAGGATTTGCATATAAATGGTTGCATAATAGTTGTTGCAGGAAAATGTCTTAAAGTCCACCGGCTGCTGAGCAAAGCTCCCACCTCAGAACAAGACCATGTGTGGTTTGGAAAACAAGTCTCAGTAGCTGTTGGAATAATCTTAGCTTCTCAAAGATGAGGAGCGTGATTTCCATGCCGACACCCTGGAATATGGAAGGGCCTGGGGTTTAGTGTAGCAAAGTCTTTCAGATGGGTGCTTTGGGGGCTGTGCCCGTATTAACTGGAGTGATGTGGCATGAATCCTTCAGGGTTAGGGACTGAAATGTGCCATGGCCTTTTATTCAAGAAATACATTTGCAGCTTAGCCTGCTCGGCTGGAGGTGGTTTTGGTTTCCACCCTGGTCACGTCCCCATTCTCCTGCTTTTTCTTGGCTGGCCAGTCTGCCTTTAATAAGGTCCTTCCACCAAGATCCCGGCTGTAAAGCCAGTATATTTAATAACCCTTCTCCTGGCATAAGGAATTACGCCAGTGTAGATCCCTAGCCACTGGGTTGAGACGCTGCTTTGGGGTACAAATATTGCTGGCAATTATTTACTCTCTTCACATACGTGCTAACGTAGTTAATCAACTCACTGTCAAAGCTGACATTAAAAAGCGATGCACTGCACTCTTCCTGGGGACCAATAGTAAGTGGCTAGCCAAAACCTCCCTGAGTGCCTTGCTGAAAGCTGATTTTAATGGCCCTAAAACTAGGATTTTGTTTATAAAAATAAGAATGTGAGCTAGCAAGGTATCAAGTTTCAGGCTACTGCAGTCTCACAGTAAATCCTGAAAACTTGGGTTTTGTAGTGAAGACTCAAACTCCACCTCGATCATTCCAGCAACAAGTACCAGTATAACACCATAGATAGTGCATTATGCATGTCTCATACCCTAGAATAACTTATGCTCAAGCAAACCTGAAGCACGTCAGTCTATTGTATTCAGAGTCAATGCATTAGAATGTAATTTCAGAAGCTCATGAACCCAAGTAAAATGTTACACCAGCTAAGCTATTAAAGGCAGATTTCTGCATGTATTCATTTAGTCTTTGCTTTCCAGAGGTCCAGAGCAGCCTGGGCTCAACAGAGAGAGTATATAATCTGTGCTGGTTATGTTGCATCATAAAATGAATCCATGGAAAGATTTGCATCAATACAAGTTATGCCTGATGAAGTCAAGTTTTCCAGACAGGAAGTTTTTCGAGGGCTGAGAGTAGGTCTTGGAGGGTCCTCCATTATCCTCGTTTTCCTCCCGTACAAATTGGTATTTGGCATCTTCTCTTCATGTATTGCTCTCCTTTGTTTTTGCAGCCCTGAATGGGATCCTGAATATGTTTCTAAAATAGGGATGGCATAGGTCAGCTCTGAAGGATCACAGCTGTCTTCCACCTGTCCCAAAAATGGTATGGAGCTTTGTGATTTCTCCTAGTCCTTCTGGGGAGGGAAGAAATACTGATCTATATTGTTTGGGTTTCCAGGCATGGATCCAAGTGATCAGTCATGCTACTAGTTTAATTGCAAAGAGATGGCAGAGTGAAACTTACAGGCAATGGTGGTAAAATTGATAGTGGAAACCGGGGACCACCTGCTACATCTGAGGATTGGAGAGAATGTCCGTGACTAGGCAGAATCTCTCTCATCTCCTTTCAAACCTCAGTTCCTTTTTCCTCTTCATTTTGTTTAAGTGGAGAAGGGATTTGCATAGATTCCACACTAGAACACCAGTGTCTGCTAGGCCATTCTTGCAATTGATAATCCTCTGGGTCAGAATGGCCTTCTTGACATCTTTCTTCTTTCCACTTGCGCTTGGTGCTCCTGGTATGTGGGTTACACTATAGACAGAAATTTGGGTTGACATCTCTACATCATCTGGAGAACGTACACCCTTCATGTAGATTTCCTCTCAGTTGGCCTTTTCTAAAAGTTCCATGGCCCCATTGGTTTGGCGTGGACGAGTCTAGTGTAAGCAGGACTGCAAGATGGGAAAGGGATAGTCCTGGTCAGAATTTTTCACTGAGCGAATAATTGATTTTTTCATTCAGTCACTGAATGAAAAAAAGTCTTAAAAAAAATGTTGTTTTGGAATGAATTAAATGGTTTGTTTGAGCCAAAATTTTTTTTGGCTTATTGTTTCGTTATGTTTCCAGGTGTTTTTTACCCTTTTTAAAATATTTGTAAACAAAACTAACTAAATTTCTAAACAAAACATCATTTTGAAATGAAAAGTTGAAACATTTCATTTAGAAAACGTCCAAACTGTTTTGAGTTTAAAAAAAAAATAAAATAAAATAAAATTCATGCTAAATTTGGGCTGAATTTGTGAATAGTTTTGGTCTCCCTGAAAGTGCATTTTTCAGTAATTAATTGACTGAAGAATGCTGCCTAGCTGTTGTCATAATACTTTTGTTTCTTGTTACAATGTAGCGTTTGGAACGAAGATGGGTGTTGAAGTGCTGCTATTGGGAATATCACCTCTGTGGTATTTTGTATGTGTGGAATCAGTTTAGTTCAAGACTTTCCTGCTTTCATGGGCTTTGCTCTTATAATGAAGAGGTTTCATTTTACATTTGCTTTTCTAAATGGCTTCCTCTGGTAGCGATTGTTTTTTGGAAAGGTTTACTTATTTCCCAGCTGCTGTTCCAATTCTCTGTAACGTTCACTTTACGGTAGTTTGTCTGGTACTTACTTATTCTGCGTTCAGTAGGAATTTTTACATCTCGCAATACAGGAGATGGTCACGCCATCTCTGAAAAGATGGAGCAGAAATAGCAGGCTGAAGACTGGTGATGAAAACGATTAGAGGCATGGAGAGACTTCAGTAATAGCGGAGAAAAAATGGGACCGTTTTAGTGCAGAGAGCAGAAGAATTGGTAGGCAATTGATGGAACGCACTGAATGGTGCAGAGAAGGAAAATTGGAGATTCCTTTTTGCCTTCTGATAATACAGTAAAGGGACGTTTGAAGTACACAAATGTATAATTGATAAAAAGAAACACTTTCCTTTTACACAATGCCTAGCTTGTAGCCTTGAGTTCCAAAGGTTGGTTTTACTGAAGTCCAAGAGCTCACTAGGAGTCAAAGGATTATGAGCCATATACATGTCTGAGGATATCCAGGTACGATAGACAGGATTCAAAATGGGGGAGATTTTCCTTATCTGTCTTTTTTCCCCCCTCCAGATCCTCTGTGCTAGTTCAGAGGTTTATGGTAAATCTCCGCCAGCAGCTGGAGACTGGACAGTGTCATTCCCTGTATGGGAGGAGTTTGTCAGCCAGATACTTGGAAAGCAGGTCTGTAATAACTTGCTACCTTTCCCCCCTGTAAACTTAATCTGAACCAATATGCAGAATGAGGCTAGTCTGAATGGTGTGGAGGGTCAAAGTAGGATTCTGGGCACCTCTTGGTGAGGCCAGCCTCCCACAATGGACTGCAGGATGTTCCTCTGGACACTGCATTCACCAAGGTCTGGACTTCCACATTGCTGTTTGGAAAAGGTCCTGTTCCCCCCTCCTGCTGGAGATGGTAACAACTCAGAAAGCCAGCAGATACATCCCTTCTAGCTGGAGGGGATCTCACATCACTCCCCTGTCTGTCTGCTGGCAGGTAAGAACTATATCCAAGCACCTGGAATGGCACAGAGGATCGAAGAGAGAAACTCTTGCTCCAGGGATTATGCCCCAAATACGGGGAGTTAGGAGGAAAATTCCCCCATGGTCAGGATATTCCAAAATTGGCTATAATGAGGATGTTGGCAATTGTCTATGAAGCATCTGCTACTGGCTCAACCCAATTATTAGACTAGATGGACCACTGGTCTGTTTTGCTACGACAGCTGTTCAGAGCCCCAGTGAACGCGACTGGCATTCAGGGCTGTTACAAGTTTAATGATAGTCCCTCTTTCTCCTCCCTCCATTTCTCTTTTATTACAAGAAAAAAACCAGAGGCGGGCAAAGTGCTGACTGGCGAGAGGTCCCGGACGTTTGGCCATCTGTCAGGCTTGATCCTGGAGAGGCTGCACAGGTAGGCTCAGTCCTAGCTCCTCTTTAAAAGTGCTTTGTCCTTTGATAATACTGTACCTGGTGCAGACACAAATGTTCAAGGTGTCCAAATTACAGGGCTCTTCTCTGGGGCCAGGAACTTGCCTATGAAAAGTAGGCAGCAGCTTCTCATCTCCCTCTTCCTGTTCTCAGCCTCCTCTTTCCCTAAGTCAGTATCGCCTCATGGTTTTGCAGGTTATCTCTGTCTGGGACGCCTGCCTTTTCGCCAAGTGGAGTAGCTGTGCCAGGCTGCCATCCCTCTGGAACATCCTCTAGATGAGTAAGTGCTCGAGAATCCACTGCTTTGCATTTGTTCTAGAAATTGTGCTCGCTAACGAGAGAACAAACCTCCATCTGCTGAGCTGGCCTGAGAGCAGACGATTGAAAGCTTCAAGTGGGTACAGGCTCCTTTAAATTCTAGTTTCCCACTGGTGTTTTTAGTCCAGTTGTACGAGTGCTTTGGTTCATCGTGTCTTAATTTTCTGTACATCAGGGTTTTCCTCATGTCTGTTTGGTACATACTAGCATCTGGGTCAGATCTACAGTCCAGTCTCACTCCTCTCTGGTAGCGGCTGATTCCCAATTCTTCAGAGAACGGCAACCCTCGCCCCACACAGTACAAGTGGGGCTGGCTGTGCAAGTGCATTTTAATTCCTTCCCGGCCCCTTGGTCACCTCTCTCTAAGAACGATGGTTCTTTCCTACTCCCAGTTGCTTCTTGCCGGACATGTAAAAACCTGATTGAGTACACCTAAGGGGATGTTGTTCGAACATGAAACACCCGTGTATTGATGTGAACTATTAACTTTCACTCCAGGAAGCGTAACTAAATCATCCCTGCATTCTAGATCATGGCTGTACAGTACCAGCCCACGGGTGCTCTGATTCTTGAGAGGGGCTTGTAATGTAAATAATAAGTAACCCCTGCATCCTTTCTGTCACCCCATATTCATCGCCAGATCCATTGCAAGCCCTTTAAGGCCTGCTGTATCATCCCCATGCTGCCCTTGCAGTGGGGCTGGCATTCTTTGAGAGCACTGCCCTCAGCTGCCTGGAGCTCTTTCTCTGCTCCCACGTCCTCTCTGTCTCCTGCAACCTGTGCGATTCACTTTGGCTTACAATGAAGCTGCTCGTCCGTTGGTTAGATATTGTGCACTAGGTTTGATGGGCACAGGGTGCCAGCTGCCCATAAGTGTGGGGCACTGGTGATCTTAGGCAGCCTCCCTTGGGTAAAAGATTGGAGAGGGAAGCTTCCCTTCTGCCTCGGTGCTCTCCCTGTCCTACAAGTTTGTGGCAGGTGCCTCTCTTTCTTTTCCTTCTCGCTCTAGCAGATTTTCCCTCTAAGGCTACATCCACACAGCAAACAACAAAATGTGCAGCAGAGAGTTTCAGGCCCCAAATCACCTGACTCAGGGCTAAAAATAGCAGTGGAGATGGGAAGGTATCAGAGCCTGGGCTCCCACCCAGGCTCGAACAGCTACACTGCTCGCCTTAGCTCTGCAAGCCTGAGACTTGCTGCCAGCGCTTTGTGTTTTGCTGTGTCGCGCTGCCCACATTGTCCTTTTGCATAGGAAGAAAGCAGAGTATTTTCTCCTTTCTCATTGAGGCTCTGGTCTTCCCAAACCCAAGGACAAGCTTCTTCCTACTGGCCCAGCATGAATGCAGGCCCTTAAAAAAGGTGGAATAGCACAGGTGTGCTGGCAGCTAGAATAATGAGCAGCATATGCTAGGGGTTAGATTTCAGAGTCCAAGGCCTCTCTGAGCCAGGAAAAGCCTTGGCAGACAGTGAGAACTGGAGATGCTCCTTTAAGAACCATCTCCTTGTCTAATGGTATACTGAGTGGTTCATTCTCAAATCTATCATCTAGGGTTACTTCTAACAAAAGCGGGACAAACCCCACTCTGTCTGTAGCAGGCAGCTGTTCGTGCAGGGCTGGCTGCACCCTTTCATGCTCTCTAGAAAGCAGATGCATTTGAGTGCTACCACCAGGGTTCCAAGGTCCTCCAATTAGCAGCTGGAGTTCTGCAAAATATATTCGATAAAGTAGCTGTGCTGGTTGGTTCTGTTCTGCATGCGTCCCATAATTCTAACAACAAACAGCTCTGCAGGCAGGCCTTTCAGACAATCTTCCTTTAATACAAAGTCAATATATCTACATACACAGTGGTCTGAAAACCACTTACTGATTCAGTTTGAAATAACAGTGTGAAAGCAACAGCACTTTGCTCTCATACAAAGAAAAAACTTATCCAACCCCCCCCAAAACTCTCCCAATAAGATTTTGCTGCAACATACTTAGAAATTTGGGAAACTTTCACACAAGTAGGAAGTAAAATCTCAAAGAAGCCTTTTTTCCCCCTTTCGAGACAGGACAGAGGTTGATTTGGGGGGGAGGGTAGCAGTTTGGTTGCATTGAGTTCATCCCATGTGGCCATGTTTACCTCTCTAGAAAATAATTAAAAAATAATAATCAAGGGAGAGCAGTTCTTGGGGCAGTGTTTTTCTCCTCAGTGTACTTTGGCAACACAATTCCTTTTCATGTACAACTGCTGGAGTATTTGACACATGGTCCCCTGCATGAAGAGCCTTGGGCTGTTATTACAATACCCATTATTATTCTGTTGATGTGATGTTTAAAAACTGTACACACATGTGTCTGTGGGCTCGTGCCTGCCATGGCTCTGAAATTCCTCTCTCTATTTCAGTCATAAAACCCTGGTAGTATTTAATCTCCCAATTCACTACTGACCCTGGGAAGAGCAGGCAACGTAGCCATAGGAGGAGGGGGAGTGAGTTGGGACTACACCCCCCCCTAAGCCAGCCTGCTAACCTCACGCCCTTCCAGAGACAGGTCTGAGATTTAAAATAAAGAGACATTTTGTTCTTACATGAGCAAGTTAAACCTTTTAAATGGTAGAAAAGCAGTATGTAGAAGTAGCAATTTGCACTGCATCTTTATATATCACAGCCATTACACGGAACATTTCTACAGTGAAAAAATAGACTGTCTTTGAACATAATATGAACAAATAAGCAAATTTTTCTTTTAAACTCATTGACGGATATTCTTTGTTTTTTTAAAAAAGGAAAAAATACACTATTTAAAAAAAAGGTAATGTCACTTGTTACAGTTACATTGATACTTTAAAGAAAGCCACTGACTGCATCTTGCTTGATCTTTCCAAATTATTATACAGCGAGGGCATGTTCACAGCTGTGCCTATGAACTTGGGGTGACAAGGACCGTCTCTGAGATCTGTTGTATTGGAGGTGGTGTGTTGGCAGCAAGAAGCAATAGCTTCTTGGGAATGAATCTCTTTAGAATCAACCCTGTAAGGGCTCTGTTCAAAAATGCCCCCCCTCCAGGGGAACGGCAGCTGTGTGCAGAAGGAGGGGGTGGTTTAATATGGAAAGTCCTATTTCTGTACAGCTCAGTCTCCTAACACATCTCATTCAAAGCAGCGCCCGTGTGTTTGTGTCTGGATGAGCTGAAAAGGGGAGAAGAGAACCAACAGTCATTGTACCCAGCCAGGGAAGAGCCTGTCTCTACCTGACTGCCCACAGGCGGGGGACCCCTAGAGCACAGCCCCTTTTCCCCTTTAAATAGCCTAAAAAAATAAATGTGGGGATTAGGAGGAATGTTCCAAGTATGCAAAAGATTGGGGGGGGGGGGGTGGAGCAGAGGCATTGAGGGAATGGTGTTGGCAAGGGGCTGATAAGCCCTGAATCAGCCCAATGATGAGACTGAGGTTTATTAAAACTCCAGCTAGAAGTATTCCTGACCTTAATTTTGTTTCAGTATTGAGATTTATTTATTTTTACACAGCACCTTCAACTCTGCAAGTGACTTCCTTTAAAGACTGCCAACTAGATTAGTAAATAAACTGAACTCTAATGATGTAACCAAAGCTGGGGTCCTGCTCTTCTCCAGCCCTCTCTGCTCCCTTCAGTGGTAACATTTCACAAGGGGTGTGTTTAACTTTTGGATCCGTTCGATGATGTCCACACATTTCCATATGCCCTACACAGCGAACACCACTTGAGGTAACAGGAGCAGTTCACCACTTAAAATCATCCTTCAGCACCCTGCTGAGCTGCCTCTTCACGTTCCAGGTTACAACATGGAGTTCCTGAAGGGGTGTTCCTTTCAAATCCTTCCCCCACTGCATGGTCCAAATGAAAAGGTACTTCTTCGGAGTCAGTTTTGTAAGTTCAAGCACTCCTCCTGGGTCAGAAGAGGCCTTCCAGGACTTAAGTGGTTGGTAGAGTCTGCAAGACGAATGGCTTTTTATGTTGCATAGTGATCAAAACTTCCCAGATACTCCAGAGCTGCCTGGTAACAGAACTGATATTCATCCTAGATGTGGTCAAGAGGAGACAATCAACAGGTTAGTGGTTGTGGAACATCTGTTGCTAACCCCTTCACAGCTTGCTAAGTCAGCTTTTATGCTATTGGGGGGGAGGGACACTGGGTATACTGGAAATGAAGAAACTTTCTGAGAAAGCCACAGATGCTGAGTAAACACTTCTATGGATCATAGAGATCCGCAGGATGATAAATGCACTCATAAGCGTAGCCATGGTTGTCACAATTTTACATCCATGGTTAACTGACAGCCAGGCTGAGGTCAGAATCTGCTAGTGCCATGGTTCTCAACGAGGGGTTCGCAGAGCTCTTCCAGGTGGTCCATCAGCTCATCGAGAGATTTGCCTAGTTTTACAACAGGCTACATAAAAAGCACTAGCGAAGTCAGTACAATCAAAAATTTCATACAGACAATGACTTGTTTATACTGCCCTATGTACTATACATGGAAATGTAAAATAAATCAAGTGGAATATGAATATTGTACTTACAATTACATAGTGTGCTGACACTTTTGTATTTTTACCATTATAGAAAAATTGCTTAAGTGAGGTGAAACTTGGGCTATGCAAGACAAATCAGACGTCTGGAAAGGTTGAGAACCATTGAGTTAGTGGACAGAGTATGGGGTTGGGAGTCAGACAACAGCTGCCCTTGAAGAGAGCATGTATCAATGTGCATTTACCACTGTACCTTATACTTCTGCTACATGACACAGCAGTTCAGCCTAGGCCCCAATGGCCCAGATCCTCAAAGGCACTTTAGGTTCCTAATATCCATTTATTTCAATTGAAATTAGCCTTGAGGATCATGGCCCTTGTTTTTAAGGAGTTCAAGTTTCCTGTTAGCATGGTGGTTAGAAAGGCAAAAGCTCATTCATCCTCTAGGTATGAAAGAGATTAACAGTAACAGGAAAGAGGCAATTCAGTGTTTTTCTGCTCTCTCTTCCATTCACAAACACCCACACGTGTTAGTTAATCGCTACAATGTTCTTTACCTCCGTCTGCACCATCGCTGGTCTTTGTGTTCGCAGCATCTTAACTGTCTGGAAAATATCTACAACACCCTCATAACGCATTCTCTCCAGGACGATACTCAGTGTGATGAACACCCCAGTTCTGCCCACTCCGGCGCTACAGACGCGAGAGAAGAAACAACACTGTTATACGCCTGTGTGTATTTTAGTAAGGAAGCAGCAGCCAGTGTACCAGTTAAACAAAGCCTTCAGCCTTTACATGTTCTGATCTTTCTTAAAGCAATAAATTGGCATTCATGTCCAACGAACATAACTAAATCAGAGGCAGAAGTCCCCTGCCTATCAATCCTTGTTTGTCCAGTGTCAGATTTCCCCCCCAATGTCCTCTCCCAGCAATGGAAATACTAAAACCACCAGAGTCACTGATCCACAAATGTCAAAAGCTCTAGCCATAGATAAATATTCAATTTGGAAATATTTTCTAATGGCAATAAAAATAAACTTGAAAAAACATCCTCCATGATTCGGAAGCAACATTAGATCCTTGTGAACTTCGTTCATTAAATCAGATGATGAGGTAATGCCCTCTATTATCTGCTTCAGCCAGTCAGGAATAGGTCTTGATCCAGTGTAGCATCTGGCTTAGCAAATGGTGGTGTAGTTTTTTTATTCGGATTTGTTGGGGGAGCAAAAGGAGGCCCTCCACTCAACGGGACGGCATTTCTCTGTTTGTACGTAACGCAGTAACATTAATTCTGTTTTGTCTAGGAGAAGGAGGAGAGAGTGACCCACAAAGACCTAGTGGAGGGGAATGGAGGAATACACAGCCCCCCCGGTGTGTCCAAGGAGCTGGGCTTACAGAAATGACAAAATACTAGGTCACATGCTCTGTTAGGGAATTTGCGCTGAGGCACAGATGGCCACGCTTTTCTACTCCCTGTTGAAGGATGTTTTTACATGCTCATTTGCCTACCTGCAGTGGACAGAAATTGGCCCATCCTGACCGAACTGTTCCTTTGTCTTATGCACCTGTCCAATGAAATCGATAAAACCCTCTCCTGATTTTGGCACACCTTGTTCGGGCCAGTCAGTGAACTGGAACTGACGAACGGTTCGGGACTGACCATCCTGGGGAAGAGCAACAGAAAAAACAAAAGTTGCAGTTAAAACACGTGGTATATTCATGCCGGTAATAATACTAATGCCAAATCTCCCAGCTGCCCCGTTAGCGAAGGAGGGGAATGGAACATTGAAGCACACTGAACAGGGGTCAGATATCGCCAAGCTGACATGTTTTGTGGGAAGGGATCCCTTTTTGTCCAGTGTTGACGAAGGAGTGAAGTGGACTTTGTTTAGACTTTTATATTAAAGGGCTCAAAACGATCTGATCAAACAATTTTTCTAAATAAATAAATGTGGGTTTAGTGGGGAATGTCAAAATGTGTGGTTTTGTACCAGTTCAGGATGAAAGGAAATGTCAGAAGTTTCCTGGAATGGAAATTCTGAGTTTTGACCAGCTCTGGAAAGCAGAGCAGGAAAGACGCTACCTTAAGACTGCAGTAGAGTCTGCTGCCCGGGAAAGTCTGAGGCTCAGTTCCTGTATGTGCCAGGAGCTAAAAGGGCACATACTAGTATAAAACTGCAACTGGGAAGCTAGTTCCAAGCCCTGCCTTTCACAAACCCAGGAGCCTGCAGCAGCAGAGTCAAAGCAGCACAACCCCATCTGTTCAAACCTAGGACAGGTCCCCCATTCATTTCAAGACCTGGCTCAAAATTTCTCTCCCTTCTTTTAAAATCCCATCCCAACACTTGTGCACCTCCTTTCCTTGCTTCTTCTTCGCCTCTGTCCCTTCATGCAGCCTCACCAGTCCTTTCTGCAACAGCATTTGTGTACCACACTCTGCCCTCAGCAGCTCCCCAGCTCTCTTAACCAAAAGCCTGTTGGCATTCAGTGTGTATGAAAGACACGACAGAGAGTACAGCTTTCGCTATCAGCGAGGTCACCCAACCACCTCATTCACTTGTGATTAATGAAACCAACTGGAAGGTACTTCATCCCCAAGTACTGCAGTCCACATCCATGTGCCTGTCCAGAGGAGCCTAGTTCCTGATCATTCCCCACAGTGCCTCAGAGAGACCAAAGATAGCAACATGTGCTTTGCGCATTTTGTCAAAACACCTCTCTGGCCTCAGCAACTTATCTACAAATCTGTTGAAGCATCCAAACGGGCACTGCTGAAGTTGTTGCTCCAAAGTCTTCCTAGAATTTAATAATTCAGAAAAGAATTCAAAGAAATGACCCAGTGTGAGCTAACATGTTGGTGGAGTCAGGGGTTTAGGAGAAGCTTTGTGAACAGCTGTATAATAGACCAATGCTGAGCTCCAGAAGACAGGAGCTAGAGAAAGACAGCCGATTTCAACAGCTTCTGAAAACCTCTCTGTTCATTTAACAGTTCTGACCTCACAGCAGGGGAATGGAACCCCAATGGCCTGTTTTCCAATCTCCATTTCTGCCAGATAGGAAATCCAGAGCTAGGTCTGTTCTCTGGATAGTCCCTGTGTGCGGACTCCAAGCGAGAACTGTATGGTCAAGGCATGAACATAGAATTCACACTTCCAAGCCCAGAAAGGAGAGAAGACTGAGCACTCACCCTGGCATCAGTAACCTTGAATTCTCGCAGGATATACTGAGGCATGTTGTATTCAGCCATGGGATCCACCACAAAGTACTGGTACCGGGCGGATCGCTCAGCAGGCCAATACTGATGGCACTTTTCCTGCCGAGGGAGAAAAGACACCAGTTTAGGACAACGCAGCTAACCCCTTACGCTGCTGTAGGGCTTTGAACTGTGTTGCCCTCCCAGCCCTCAACCACCCTTTCGATGGGTCCATGCTTACCCGACCCATCTCTCGCAGCTTGGTCAACATCACCACAATGGTGGAGTTGTTCTCCCAGAGCATCCGCCAGAAATCCTCGGTGGTCTCTGCCAGCGGCCCTTGAGTGGCAATGTAGGCTTTCTGTTGTCTGAAAGAAAGCACAAACCCCACACACAAGGTGACGAGTTATTAGCCCAGGGTCTGGGGTGATGGCCTTAGCAACTGGGGGGACAGCTTGAGAACTGTCACAAGGGTCCGGATATTTGGAAGGCCTTATAAACTAGATGGGAATGCAGCTCTTTGGAGATGCCCAGGCTTGGGATAGGGGTCCGTGACTCAAAGGCCTTGGGCTGGGATTTCCCTAATGACTGTGACTATGGGCTAAATCCTGACTAGTCATGCAAGAGGAGGTTGCAGCATGACACTTGCCACCCTCCCATGCACATGTGTGCAGGACCCGAGGGCAGTCTGCTGCTTGGGCTATCCGAGCAAAACCGGGGAGGGCCAGTGGCCACATGCGGCAGCGCATTGCCTGGTCTGTGCACCCAGAGGCATGAAGGAGGGAGAGCCCTCGCTGCATCCGGTGCTGCTCAGCGCCCTCCCTCCTCTGCATTCAGCCTCTGGCAGGCCTGCATAGGCAGAAGGTCTCAGAGCATTGCCGCGTGGGTCCTACTACAGCTTTGCTCGCTGGCTCCAAAACAGCAAAACACTGATTGTTTCCCAACGTCCCAACAGCTAAAGAAAGGCTGAGACAGGAATGATCTGTTCCATAAACATTCCCCATAGTGAAATCCATCCAGCCAAGATACTCTGAGTCTAACACGGCAGCTGGATGTTGTTGTTTTTTAAAAAATGAGAGAAAATGTTCTGACCATTAACAGCTGAGGTTATACTCTGGGGAAAAGGTAATCCAACCCTGTATTTCAAGCTGCGAACTGATCACAAACATAGTGTCAGGAAGGAATCTGCCCCGTAAAATGTTCAGCATTGCACAAGAGGCAGAGTGTGGGTGGATGGGATTCAAGTCCCTTGAAGCATCAGGTGTGGATTAGAACAGACCAGCGACGGATCAATGTTCTGACTCAGGCTGGCAAATCAATCCATTCAGCCTTCCTTCCCCTTTTCTGTCACTACCTCTTTAAACTGTACTTCTCTGAGCACCTTGCAAAAAAGGGAAATCAGCTTGAATTACTCTCTGTTAAAACAGCCGGCTTCAACGTGTTGCCGTTTACCTGTATCCATCGATAAAACTGGCATTGATATAGTCTGACCCCTCCACTCCCCTGATGGGCTGAAGACAGACGCGGGTGGTCTCGTATGGCATGATGTTGACAAGGCGATTCTTGAATTTGTTGCACGGGAGGTTGGCGCTTATGAACCTGGAAGTGTGGGCTTTAGAGTTGGCAAGTCGCTGAAGGAAAAAACACACACACGTGTTCTAACAGGTGTTATTTCAGCTCCCGGAAAAGGGTGAGAATTGCTCAGATGCCTGGGACAAACTGGCTTATTTAGGTGGGCAGGACCAAAGTTTCCATTGGCCTGGGTCTGATCTTAGACAAATGGTTCAGCAGCATCTTCACGCCAACCCACTGAGGCAGCCCCAAGGCAGATGAATTTCTTTCCGCCTCCAAGTTCCCCTGCGTGGTTCTGGCTTTCATTTATTTACTGGGGGGGTGCAACTCCAGAAGCCGAGTGCCAGAAATGTCAGGGCCTTCCCCATTGCAAAGCCTTGTTGTGATTTGTTGACTGCGTTTCACATTGGAAATACAGCATTAAAATCAAATGTGAGCCGGGGAGGAAATTCAACCTGGATTTCAGAGAGCTGGACTAAAGTCTTGCCCCAACAGCTGGTCTTTCCCCTGGGAGCCACTGCAGCAGCCCCGGAGTCAGAAATGTAATTACTTCTTTAATGTAGAAACACAAAAACATTCCTCCCCCCCTCAAAAGGGCCAGTCATCTGTCATCCTTGGAGCCTAAGCTGCAGAAAGCTCCTGTCAGAAGCACAGACCTTCCCTTCCCGCCCTGCCTTTACTCTCCAATGGGAGAAGGTTATTACGATTAAGTTCCTTAGGTGCCAGGGTTTTTGGTGTAAGTGCCCATTATCGTCCCGCTTAAAAGAGCAACTTCAGGTACACGTCAGGCTGCTGTCTGGACTCTGCCCTCCCTGGAACCCCCATGTTAGAGCGGTGTTCTAATGCTTGGTGATAGTCTATGCTGCAGATTGCCTCAGGGAAGTGACTACAACATGGTTCTCAAAAACATCCCCATCACACTGAACGTGGCAGAACCCTGCTGATCAGCACAATGCGAACACTGATCCCAGTGCTGACGGGGCCCATGGCATTGCCCGGCTGTCTCCTGCATGGCCCAGTTCAGATGGAAGCCCAACAGCACCTTTCCTGTCTCCGTTCTCCACCCCCCGCTGCATGCCTAGACCTCAGTGTTCTGCCATTACCTTGAACTCCAGCTCCATGCCTGTCACATGCTCGCCCACCTCTATCTGCGCCAGTTTCTGAATGTAAGTGTAGAGATTCCTGGCTGGGACCTCTGTGTTACCGCAAGCAACGGCCTCCAACAAGGCATCGTGTATAAAGCTGTACTGGTCTTCTGTCTGGACCATGTAGTTCCGCTGTGACCTCATGAGGGTGACGTGCCCATAAATGTCCACTGTCTTCTCATGCTTTATCCTCTCCAGCATGGCATCAATCACGATGAAACAGCCTGTCCGTCCAACTCCCGCGCTGGAAGGAGAGGTGGGAAAGTAAGCAACATAATCCAAACCCCAGTGCCGCCTTTCTCTTGAGAAATTTACCTTGATGGCCGTTCCTTAGTGGGAGTGGGCGATCGTGAGCAGATGTAGACAATGAATGACAACGGGGAGGTATGTGAAGAGCATGAAAGAGAAGTAGGAAGCAATAGAGACCTTGTAAATATAGATACAGACAAAGAATATAGGGTGGATGAATTATTGGCAGACTTAGAACATAGATCAGCAGGGCTAGATATTTCGTGCATTCTGTTGTGTTAAGGGAACTTGCTGAATGACTGGCCACACAACTCCCGTTCATGTCAATGGGAGTTGGGTGATATTTTAAAAGCTAGTTAGAGGATTTAGCCATATGTGGAGAATTTAGTGTTTTTTAGTCTCAGGGTTCTGTCCTACAGCCACAGCAGCTGAGCATGCAGCATCCAACAATTTGGGGGTGTAATGGTGATGGGGGAAAAAAGTAAAAGGTGTCACTGGTTTCC